TCATAACATAAACAGTCAATATATTTATATATATGAAGTAGAATTAAGGACTTTACAAATAAAAAAAATATTATGAAACAGTACATGATAGAGTGGAAAAATGAAATAGTATCAATAAAGCCAACTTGATTTTGGCATTCAGACCGCTTTTGTTTATTCTACTCAAAAGTTTGAGCATGATAATATCATCTGGTACAATATGTCTTATTTTCCATTCCATCCACCTCAGCATCAACCTCACCTGAATGATCGAGTGATAATCAATATCAACTCCTGTTTATCATTCAAGATACTTTTATTGTAATCTTCAGCATAACTCGTCAAATATTTGAGTGGTAGTTTTCCACTAAATACATGACTGTTTGTATTCAAGATATCTTGTTTCAATTGTGAAAGTCCCCAGTCAGATGTCAATAATGTGATTCGTCACAAACTGATCCCTGCCAGCTTTTTTCAATACATTTCGCACTTTATGGACTATCCCTGCACCAAATGCAACTTTTCTAATTTTATTTTTCTTCGTTTGTTTTTTCCTATTTTTTTCTTATTGGTGCTACAACCCATTCCCATATGTCTTTTTGCTTTCATGATGTTGGTGACAAGTAATGCAGCTGCTGTTTCCCCAATACTCGCGTCGTTCGATTCAACCCTATCCCAAGCGCTGTATTCAAGATCTTTGTCGGCTAAATGTCTTACTGCAAGATCGGATGGATGCTTGGAATATTGAATATCGTGTTTTTTGCATTCATTTTGCATTCAGATCGTTGCGAGCTAAACGTTGTTTCAATTTTGTATCCGGTCCACAGTATTGATAACCTTCGGTAATATGTAATTCGAAAGGAAGTTTGTTTATTAAATCATCAACAAAAACACAACCTCTTTTAATTTTACGATCACTTTCAATACGTCCGTATCGTTTGATGATACACATTGAAATCAATAAGCTAATAACATTTATATAGTCTCCAACCACGGCACGATGCGCATTGTAAAACAGAAAGAAAAGTTTGCTGTAGATAATCTAGATGAGAAATTTGGGTGTCGATTGAATGAACAAAGAGTATTCAGACATGGTCCAGTACTTTCAACATCAGTTCGAGGACTCCCAATTGTGAAAAAACGAATGCAATGATATCGCTATTAACACATCCACAAGGACTGAGATTTAGAAATGTGTATCTCTATTCGAAATCACTCGATCAACCTAAATATCAGTACTTGCGAAATGTTTTGGAACCTATAAAAGGATTAGGTTTTTATACATTCAGCAATACTGCAGAAATAGTAGAACCCTCCGATGGTAAGCTTGATTCTGTTTTCATTTTCGATGATGTGATATGTGAAAAGCAGAATAGTATTAGATCACATTTCTGTATGGGACGTAATGAGGATGCTGATTGTTTTTATCTCGCACAGATATGTTCACGGGTGCCCAAACGGTTAGTGCGTGACAATACCAATTCCATCATAATGTTCAAACAAAATGAGACTAATTTACACCACATTTATTCAGATCATGTATCACCCGATGTAACATTTGAGCAATACCAATTGATGTGTGTTGAATGCTGGGAGGACCAATATGGATTTCTAGTCGTTGATAAGAATAGAATAATAGATGAAGGTAAATATAACAGAGGATTCGATAGTTTTATATATCCATGATCTTGTTATTCAAATTCATTTGATCACTGAGTATTGTAGAGGTCACTTCAACGAATTAAGCTATAATTTAAAAAAGAAAATATGAATACAAAAAATGATTCTGAAAATAAAAACAATGAAATGAATTTGAAACGTCAGCTAGTTGAGACAACAGAAGCTGTCAGGCAGAAATTCAACTCTATCAAGGATGATAATATTGAAAATCGGACGGAACTCGAAAAATTGTATGAGCTCATAACGAAACCATTGATGTTTCATCATTAAACTCTATTTCGAAATCATCAGTGTTATCGTCAAACCATGAAAATGTTCAATCTACTTCAAATTATCCCATGAGTACTCCAATAGGAAAAAAACAATCTTTTGGTAGTGTATCATCTGTGAATAGTGACACCAACACACTTTAAAACGATATGAAAACACCTCTATTCGGAACATCATCATCGTCCCACCCTCGATTCTTCGGATTTTGCCTCCTCACCTAATATGAATGAAAGTCGTGAAGGTGTTTTGAGAAATATTTGAATAATGTAAAAGCTAGAAATTCAGCAAATGATGGAATATTTGGTGTACGTATGGATCCTATCACACAAAAGCTGAGAATGGGAGGTCTAGTGGTACATTTCAAAGATAGAAACATTTCCGTTTGGGGTGCTAATAAAGTGAAAAAATTTGAATGCGCAGGTAGTCCAGACTTGTATGATATGATCTTTTTGAAGAATCCGCAAGATGTTGGTACTGAAGAAATTCGTCAAGTATATTCCAAAATATTGCAAATAACGAATGCTCCATATACAATATCATTTGAAGAAAGGTTATACAAAGACAAATTCTAAAAAATTTCGTGAAGTTATCAAACCTCTATTAGACTCATCACAATATCCAATGAGAAGTAGAAGTAAAATTGGTGAAGCACTCAAACGAGTGAAAATGAAGAAAACATATAATTCTGAACCTGTGAATTATGTGTACTGAAATTCACCGAAAGAATTAGTTGCTTGGCTCGCGACTACTGGTGGCTTCAAAGTCAGCTGGGCATACTGGACATGACAATGAAATAATTTCAATAATTGAAGAATTACGTGAAGAAGGTATAATATATTAACATATTCACAAGTAATGATCACTGTCACAGCATCATTCAATGCAGTAACATTATCACTTTTTTCCTCTTTAATCATATTGGAATAGAATGACGAATGAAATAAGTTATATCAAACGACAAGTTGTTAATGAATTACATAGACCTGCAAGACGTAATTTTCGTAGAAGAATAACCACCATCAAAGATTTTGCAGATCTATGGCAAAAAGATCTAGCTGAACTACAACCTTAGGCAAAAAGTAATAAAGGATACCGATATATACTTGTAGTAATTGATTGTTACTCAAAATATCTGTGGACTGTAGCAGTTAAAGATAAAACATATGCAAAGCGATCAAGGGAAGCTTCTCATCTCTCATGCGAGAATATAATATCAATCATTATTCAACATTTAGCACAAAGAAGACGGATATAGCAGCATTAGAAGATCCCATGGATGTATATTGCGCGATGTATGCACACGTGCGAATCAGAACAATCGATGACAACATCAAGAAACTATGTTGGTGTTGTTTCCGTTTTTATTCTCTTAGAAACAACAATGGAGGGTGTTATCATCATATCAACACCCACAACACCGTTTCTATGATGGAAATGAGACAGAATTGGTGCGATGCTTGCGAGAGACCCCTAACAAACTTCACCCGAGTGTTGACATGTATAGTATGTAATGATGTCAAACCTGTAACACATTAGCCGTGGACCTACTGGTAAAAAAACAGCACTCTTCAGGGCTACATTATTCATACAAACAGTAGTAGTAGTAGTATTCACATATTATGTGACAAATGACTTCTCTGACTAAAAAGTCGAAGTTGGGGATTTGTTAGTCATTGAATATCTGTGCATATAATGATGAGTACTGCAGAGTGGGATAAGGATACTTTTACATACATTTTGTTTGAGACTATAATTGTAACCTAATGAAAAGGGTCGATACACACATACACAAACACACGCACACACACACAATGATATGAACCTATTTCTGTTTGGAAGTATAATGATAGCTCTGAAATGAGCTGTTTTTTTTTTGTTTGAGTCTGAAAAGGGCTGTTGTTTTTTATTATTCTATGCAATGGTATGAACTAACGCTCCTCATCATCAGAAACATTGATGATGGTGTCATTATCTGAATCATCTGTATCTGATGATATACTGATGATGTCGTCCTCATGATCATCTGAATCAGACAATATACTAATGATATCGTCCACATAATCATCTAGCTCATCATCCTCTAGATCGTCTAACTCGTCGACACCCATCTCTAACTCTGCATCTACTTCCTCTTGCATACGTTCTTCTATGCGTTCCGGGAAATCATCAGGAAAATCATAAATGGGTTGCAGATATTCTGCGAAGGTTGTACTGAAACGATCGAACGTTGAATTTCTTTCATGTACCTGGGTGGACCCTGTACTTATATTGAAAAAAATGAAGGAGGTGAAGTGTAAATGTAGAACAATTTAGTTTTTCAAATTTGGAAGCAAAAAGAATCTTCATGGAACTCTTAGTGATTATTATGAAAAACTAATAAGGGAGAGGGAGATAGACACTGCCCCAACCACGCAGTGTCCCGTGTACACCAACCAAAAAGTGTGTACTCCGAGGAAGGAAAGGATTAAGGATGGGAGAAACAAGGAAACGATTACAAATCGTCATCAGAATTGATGTAGAGTTCCCACAAGTACATGAAAGCCTGCCTTCTCGACCACCGGGCAGCAGCATCTGGATCAGTATCCATATTATTATCCGGATACTCTATATCCGACCTTTTCCTGTCGTCAGTGCTTGTGACATGAAGCACTTGAACCCGGTAATCAAGGCTGCATGACGATGAAGGACCTCTATGTGGCTCTCTAGTGGAATCGACTTCCATGTCCACGTTCGAATCGTCGTCGTCATCGTCACTCAATTGGAATGGCAGGATCCTGCAGTCAGAAGCTCTAGATTCCGACTGGGGTTCCAGCTGGGGTTCCAACTGGGGTCCGGTCGTGGAATCAGTTTTCTGAGTTGTTGACATGTTGGCGATAGCTACTCAACTGAATATTACATTGAGGAACTCCTACATTTATACTCTTTAAGTGAAGGGGTGGTAGTGGGGTATAGGTGGAGGTTATGCAATGTTGTATTTAAAAAATAATTTTCGTATGATGAACAAATGAACACATGATTTCATTACGACAATGAATAGACAAAAAGTATGTGTATGAATTTTTAAATCTGCAAAATAAATCGCGGATAATGCTTCTCGAAAATTCAAATTTTATTTCTACCNGCGTCTCAGTATCACACGCCAAGTACAAGTAATGGCCAAGTGCAAACAACAGTGAATCTAAATGAAGATCTAGCTTTATGGGAAATCAACGGCTTAGTGAATTTACAAACTATTCATCTTTTTTTTGTCAACCATTTACCAAAAATTAGTACAAATATTCTAATGTAGTTTAATAATTGTGATGAGTATACCAATTGTTTAGAATCTGTGCAGTTATTTTTGGAATCCAATGATGTTGAATATCACAAAGTTAGGAATCACACGTTGAAACGTAAGACTTCGTTAGTCCTTAGCTCGCACAAGTTTCTCAACTACTGAGAGTTGTCGTTCGTATGGGGGCGACAGCTGATTAACAGAAAAACAGATTTTTTTTAGATAAGTATTTTACTTACTAGAGATTCGTATGCTGCTGTATGTTAGTATTGATTGATTTCATGGATTACATTATTTAGAAGCTCAGAAAATTCACTAAACTAGTTTAGAATAAATGTTATTAGTTTTGAAAATTTACTGGACAGGTTTAGAATGACTGTAATCAGTTCTTAATTTTTCAAAAGATATGAATTTTTTTAAATTCACAGCCCACACAATCGCTAAAAGTTCTCTGTCAATCGTAGAGTACTTTGATTCAGCGTTACATAGTGTTCTGGAGGTGTATGCTATGGGAAGGTCTTTTCCTATCGGTTTTTGTGAAAGAACAGCTCCTATTGCAAATGCGCTAGCATCTGTCGTTGAGAGGAAAGGTTCTTCGAAGTTGGGATAAATCAAAATTGGACTAGAAGTAAGGGCTAATTTTAATTCGTTGAATGATTTCAAACATTCTGAGTCGAATTTAAATGGGGTATCTTTTTGTAGTTATTTTGTTAGTGGTTTGGGAATTTTGGCAAAATTTTGTATGAAGCGTCGATAATAACCAGCTAAGCCTAAAAAGGATTTGATTTCTTTTGGGTTTTTTGATTGGGGGAATTCAACTTTGGAGGAGTTTGGTTCAACGCCATTTTTCGTGATGACGTGTCCAAGATAAGCGACTTCTTTCCTTAAAAATTGGCATTTGTCCGGCTGAATTTTCAAGTTGGCTTTCCTTAGTCTTTTGAACACTTCTGTCAGTCTTGAAATATGTTTGTGGATCGTTGGTGAGTATATAATGATATCATCCATATATACAAGACAGCGCTCGTTTTGGATGCCAAGGAAGATGTTATCCATCACTCTTTGGAACGTGGATGGTGCGTTCTTTAATCCAAAAGGCATACGGACAAATTCATAGTGACCGTTCTCAACAGAGAAAGCTGTTTTTGGAACGTCTTTTGTGTCGATTTCGATCTGGTGAAATCCTGACGCAAGATCAAGGGTGGTAAAATACTGACATTATCCAAGATGATCTAGCAGGTCGGAAATGTTGGGTAACGGATATTTATCGGCTACTGACAGTTCGTTCAGTTTTTTATAGTCAACCAAAACACGCCATTTGGGTTTTCCTGAAGCATCTAGCTTTTTCGGTACTACCCAAAGAGGGGATGACCACGGGGATGTCGAATGTTGAATGATACCTTGATTAAGCATTTTGGAAATTTGGGTTTTGACTTCTTCTTTGTGAATATGAGGGTATCTGTAAGATTTTGTAAACACGGGTCTCGCATTGTTAGTTTCGATTGTGTGTTTTATTTCATTTGTGAAGGTGAGATTGTCGCCTTCAAGATAAAATATGTCTGAAAATTCTAGGCATAATTCGGTTATCATTTGTTCTTCTTCATGGTTTGAATGGTCAAGTCTGAGTTGGTTTTTTATCTCTTGAGTTCTGTCAATTTGTTGTAAATCATCGTGAGAGGTGTTAAAGTTCAAAATTGATTGTTTTGGGGATTGCGTTGGCGTTTATGATGGATGTCAAAAATTCACCATTTTTGTCGATTTTTACTAGAGCGTTTGGTATTCTGACTTTTTCTTTTTCTTGCGCTAACAGTATAGCGTCGGTATTTTTAGAGTTACTTTTGAGTTTGAATATTCTTTCTGTTCTGGGTTCAATTGAAATTTGGTTTGGTTTCGAATTTTCAGTTACTTCATTACCTATAACTTTGAATAAAGGAACTGTTTTGAAATTTGTAATTAATTGTTTGTTTTTTATATCAATAATACAATTATAATGTTCCAGAAAATCGGATCCTAATAAACCATCGAATTCAATATCAAGGTTGTGAACATAGACTTTGTGGGGATCATTATCTTTGAAATTGATCAGGGTCGATTCAGTGATTAAAACTTTTTGGTCCGTGATTCCCTGGACTATTACATTTTCTGGGAATCGGTGAAGGTATTTTCCACAAGTTTTTGGTTTGAATATCGAAAGGTCTTTGATATAGTATAAGTTTTTTGAATTCATGTAGTGAAGTGAACTTACATGAAGCGTTGTTCCGGGAAGTTCAGATCGGGGTGATAATCTTCTGGGTTCATCGATTGGATTTGGGTTTGAATGTCCGATGTTATGTCTTGGGATTGACTGAAATCTGGAGGGTGATGTTGTGTAGGAAGTGAGATATTTGGAATGTTTATATATTGGTCGTGTTGGTCATTTTGGTCATATTGATCGTATTGGTTGTATTGATCATATTCTTGCAGGCATTGACCATTATCAGTATAATAGTCATTTTCTTGGCTACTAGCTGTACAGTAGTTCTCATACTCTGTATTATAATCTTGGAGAGGTTGAGATTCTTCATATTTAACGCAATGTGTTTTTTGTTGATTTAAGTTGGGGTTGCGTTGAATTACTGAAGGACGATTCTGGTTTTGGTTTTGGAAATTTGGCCTAGATGGGGTATTTTGGAATTGCGGCCTTTGTTGATTGTTTTGAAATTGTGGTCTTTGTTGA